TTTAAAAACCACTCTTGAAATCTCAACCCTGACGTTGATTGGTCTCAGCACCACGTAATGTACCAATCCAAGCCGGTGGCTGCATACCGGTCTGCTCATAAACCGTATCAAGAACCGGTGGCAACATCTTGTATAGTCCAGCAATTTCCTTCATACCACCACTACTCATCCCCTGATCAACACCACCACCACCACCACCTTGGTTCCACACACTGATCTTAGGCTGCAAGTCCCTAATAGCCATAGCATTGGTCTTGGCGATATCTTGATAAACCCCATTGTTAATCATCAAGAAGTCTCTCATTGCTGAGTAGTCATTGTTAACTGCTTCCAAGAGAGTCTTGATATAAGTCCCTTGAGCAGTGGCCATGGCCACAATTCCATCTGCATCTCTTTGTTTAGCATAGAAAGATGCATCAGCTGCAGCTTTGGTAGCCTCTGCTTGCTTCTGCTTCTCGTAAAGAACAGCTTCTGCTTGCTTTTGCTTGTCATACAACTCCCAGTTTGCTTCTTGCACTTTGGTCTCATACTCAACAGTGGCTTTACTTAGAAACTCAGCTTTAAGCTTCTCTGTCCTTGTCAAAGCATTCATCTTCTCGACTTGTGTCTGAAGCTCAGCTTCCCTCATAGCAACAGCTTTACCAGCTTCAACCTCAGCCACACGAGAGTTTTTAGTCAAAGCAGCCTTTTGGATAGCAAGTGCAGCATCAGCCTGAGCAACAAGAGCTTCCTTCTCATTCTGAAACACTTGGACTTCTGTCTTCACCTTGATCTCTTCCTTTGTCCCTTCTCCTAGCCTCTGAGTTGAGATGATCTTTGACTCAGCGTCAATCTTGGCTGCGTTTTGGATGGTGAGTCCAGTTCTTTCTTTAGCACCAACCTCTCCTTTCATCTTAGCCTCAGCTACATCGATCTTGGCTTGGTTAGCTGCTTCCATCTGTGTCTTTTGACCCAAGTAAGAGAAGTACTCATGTCCAGGGACATCAACAAGCTGCTTAACGTTTGCGTTGTAGATCACAAGACCAAACTGGTTTAGCTCTAGCTGAACCTTCTCAAACACTTCCTTCTTGAACTCCTTTGTTCCTACACAATAATCAAACTTCTTGAAACCCCTTCAAGATCCAAATCTAGGGTTTTCGCAAAAAGAAATGCTATAAAATTTAGTAAAAGTTTATATAAACATTTTTAAAATAAATTTGGGGATCAGGTTTTCTTGAAAAAGATGCTATACAATTTGGTTACAGTTTATATAATTAAAAAATAAATAAAAATTAAGGGTATTCACTAGCCTATGTTCAAGACGTGCTATACAAGCAAGATTCAATTCTAGGGCTTTCAAGATTTGGATCTAGTGATTTACCTTTGAAGACTTCTTCCATGGTCATGGAGGCAACGAGGACACGAGTCTCTCCTTCGATAACACCCTGAACAAGCTCGTTGACATGGTTAGAGTGCTTATCATGCTGAGACATAAGCATAGCGTACAACAAGAGAGCGTGAGGGTCATCGACACGTGGACCGATGGTGAACACGGCGGGGATAACAAAGGGTAGTTTCTCGGAACTCATGGCTTGGACCTCGAAGGTGTAGTTGACCGGAGAGACGTCGAAGACGGTGCAAGATTGCCATGGAAAGACCCATGACTTCTTGGCGAGTTTGATGTCTTTGATGCCACCACCGGTGATGGCGAGATACTCTGATGCTCTTGCGACTTTGTAACCCATTCTTCTTTTGAGATTTTTTTTTAGGTTTGAAACGAGATTTGTTTGTTGTGTATGTGTGTAGAGAGAGAGATCTTTATGACGCAATTACTTTATATAACAGTCCCTGGTGCGCGTAGTTATGAAAATAAATTGGAAAGAAACAAATTATTATTTTTAATTTTCTTTTAGCTCTAAAATTTCGTTTATTTCACATTTTAGTGATCTACATGTAATACTCCCTGTGTTTCATTATAAGTGTCACTGTACAGCTATGTACACGGATTAAGGAAACAATTAATTTTACATATTTCCTATATAAAAACACAGTTACCCATACACCTAACCATATTTTAACCAATAGAAAAACAAATTACATAATAAAATTAATAAATTTTGCATTGAAAACCAAAAACGACACTTATTTTGTAACGTAAAAAAATCTCTACAACGACACTTAATATGAAACGGAGGGAGTATATGTTTGCTTTTTTGTTTGGGTCAAAGTCTTATAAATTAATTGTTGTGTCGAATTAATGTTTATTTCACATATTTGTGATCTACATGGATTATATGTTTCCTTTTTTTGGTCAAAGTATACTAAATAAATTAATGTGTCAAATTAATGTTTATATATAGAGATAAGTACGAATTTTAATATGTATATTTAATTGAAAGATTTTTAATTGTATATTAATTATTATATGATAAATCCATGTATATTTATTGATAGATATTAATAGCGTTTGTTGCTCAAAAAATATATTAATGGTGTTTAATGTTTATCTTTGACTTTTTTTTAGTTAAAGTAATATTCATCCGAAAATATCCAAGTTGTAACATTATCATATACTAGGTGATTTTCCCGTGCTCGTGCACGGATATGAATATTTATCAAGTAAATATATTGTATTATATTTTAATTTATTAATTTAGATAAATATTTACTTTAAATTATAAAGTAATTTATAATTTATATGTATAACTTATATCAGTAATATTATATTATTTTAATTAGACAAACGAATTGGGAGATGTTATATTTAGTCGATCTAGTTATACTTGTGTATTTTAGATTGCATCTATTTTTCTGAATTCAACTGTAATATTTTTCTTCTAAATATACAAAAACTTTGATTATTACTGCACTTAGATTGGTTATCGTCTTATATATGTAAATATAGTTTGTTAAGATTATATATAACTTAATATCTATCATGCTAATAATGAAATTAAAAATAAACTGAAATTTTGACTCAAAATTACATAAATGAATATAATGATAATATTCTAAATTCTCATTCATATATATAAATTTTACAAAAAAACTAAATTATAACAGTTGGTTAATAATTTATTTTCTATATTGATATTTTTGAGTCATCATGTAATCTATATGTATAAATATAAATAAATAATTATTCGAAACTTATTTGTTCTTGTTGTATTTAGATCTCTTATTTTGGATATAAGTTAGATATGTTCCCTTACTCGTTTGTGAGTATATTGAGTTATACGTATTTTTCTAATTCAAATGAAAATATAAATATTTTTTTTCTAATTAAATAAAATCAAATTAGTTTTACTTATCGTTTAATGCAAGTATTTTTATAATATATTTAAGAATTGAATATATGTTGATTTTTAAGAAATATTAAAAAATAAAGTGACGATCGCTAGAAATTTACATAAATAAATATAAGTATAAAATTTTTGAAATTTAATGAATCTATATTAATATTTTCAATAATTAAATATTTATAAATTCTAAATTATTTTATGCCTTAGATTTCTTAAAGGGTAAACTGAAACGTATTTTAAACAATCTTAAAAATGAGAATTTCGATTTACTTGAGTATTTTTATTATTTATATACTAAGTTCCACAAACATAAAAAACATAAAATTAAAAATCAAACTAAATATTAAAAAGAAATTTTAATAATAATAAATATAATATTTTCCTTTCATTAATAGTGTATAATGCTATGCTATTTAAAAGATTTTGAAATGATTTGATCAAAATAATTATTTCTGTAAAAAATATTTTTAGTTTCCTTTTTTAATATCTCTTAAATAAATGCTAAATATGTTATCTTAGGAAAAAATTTTTTTTAAAAAATTATTAAATTTCGTTTATATATCAGATTTATATTTCATAAATATTTCCATTTTTATGCATGTGTTTTAAAAATGTAAACTTAAATTAAAAAAAATAAGTAAAATCTTATTATGAAAAAAATAAATACATTATTATTATCAATCTTATTTAATATTTTTAGTTCATTAAGGGTATCTCTGTAATAAACCATTATGAGAGTTAATCTGAGCGCGACACGTAGGAAACTGACTTCTCAAATAATATTATAGAGATTTAAGAAAAAACTTATTAAATTTTGACTATCAACGCATTGATTATTTTTGTAATTAACTATTTTCACAAAATAACTTTTGACTAGTTTCAACAAACATGGTTATTTTTACTTAAAGTTTACAATTTTGTCATTAATTAATGCATTGATATGTAAAAAATGTACTCCCTCCATTTACATTTATTTGTCATTATAGGTTTTTGCACACAAGTTAAGGAAATATTTAATTTTACTTATTTCGAAGATACAAACACAATCAACTATACACCTAACCACTTTTCAACTTATAGAAAAATAAAATATTATATAAAACTAATAAATTTTGTCTCGAAACTATAAAACGACACTTAATTTGTGACAAAAAAATAAGCATAGAATGACATATATTATGAAACGGAGGGAGTATCTTTCAACTTTTTTTCTGAAACATTGATTTTTCGGAATGAAGGAATAGTATAAGATATATTATGGTTGATATATTGGTGAAGCATCCAAGAAATTCAGGAACATCTTTTAAATATATGTACTCATATATAACATATCCTAACAAGCTGTATTGAAAGCCCTTTTACAAAAAAAAAAGAAGAATCTGAATTCTATATGGCATTCATTTTTTTCTTTTCTTAATATCCACAAATTGTGTAAAAATAAAGGATAGCTATATTTATCGTTGAATTCAAATAAATATTGAATTTAGGAACTGACTATAGTATCCATATCTGAAAAATACCAGACGAGTTTCTCTTCTCATAAGTAATCTCTAATGCAATCACTAATTAAAAATTTAAACACTGTGTAACAGATAACACAAAAACCACCGGAAAAATCGTAAACGATAAACAACGATCGCGTGTTTTTTTCACCTTTACAACAAATCAACGTGTTACACGTGGACTACCAACTCAAGCCGTTATTTTCAGGAGGGAGAAGAAGGATCACAGCTCCGTCGCTTTATCTATCCACAAACCCAACCCAACCACCCACCCAAATAATAATATCTCGTCGTCTTCCATTGATCATCTTCAATCATTCAAAGAGAGAGTCTCTCGACGATTCAGAATCTCTCATTCCTTCAAAAATTCATATAAATAGAAAGGAGTTTGTTTGTGATGGTGGAGAGTTATAGTAACCTCTCGTGGCTCGTATGGATCCAAATGTTCGTCTTCTTCCTCCTCCTACTCCTCCTCTGCGTCTTCGGATTATTATCCTCTGATAACGAGATCAGTGTCTCATCTTCCGATTCGATTCCTTCCACGTCCGCCGCCTCTAGGAGGTTTCTCTCCGGAGATCCGATTGGCTTGGGATTCTCCGTAGTACAGTCTAATCAGGTAACTAACTCTCGATTTCTAGTCGTAATGTTTCCCCCGTTGACTTAGTGTTGATTGAATCTTGAGGGGCTAGAATGTAATTTACGAAAATAGCCTCCCAGGCACATTTTAGAATGTAATGCCAGCTAGAAAAGTTGTTTGTTAGAGTTTTTAGGGGATTAGCTTTTTATACATTGTCCTGAAATTAGCATATGGTTTAAGTATGTAATCTAAACATAGAAACTTAGGAAGATTCCTAATTATGTTTTTTTAAGGATCTTGATATAGTTCATGAGTTCCATTATCATTGTTTAGTTTGTGTTACCTGTTATACTATATTCAATTACCCTGAGCCTTAAGTCAGAGCCGGTCCGGTGCTGCGGTTTTTGAGCCGGTCCTGAGATTTTGAGGGCTGTATGTGATTTAGGAAATTTTTTAATCAAAAATTGTTTTAATAAATTTGAGAATCTATGTCTATGTAATTTTCTTTAAAAATTTTTGGGGTGTAAGGGCATCTCCAACCCCACTCTATTTATCATTCTAAAATAGAGTTTTAGAGTAAAAGTGTTTTAATGGTACTCTATATGTCACCTGAAAATAGGTTTACTCCAAATAGTAACTTGTTTTTTTTTTAACACTCTATTTACCATTGGAATAAATCTCTACTCTATTATAGAATGACTCTATTTTAAAATAAAAAATAGTGTAAACTATTGGAGATGGTCTAACAAGTGTTTCACTTGGCTATGCTGAGGACCGGCCCTGGCCATAGTCATTTGCTAAGATCTTGACACTGAGACTTGTTAGGTTTGTTTTATTTTTTATTTTATCTTGGCGTTGAAGCTTTGCTTTGCTTAGGTTTCACAAGAGATGTCTTATGTTGTTATCTTTAAGCAACGATAATCTTCTAATTTTGTTGTGTTTCTAAGTCAACAAGTTACTTTCCTCTATTGCCCTTCTTTGCTTTGCTACAACAGTTTCAATAGGAAAGGTTTTGTTTACAACTTACAAGTTTGGTTTTTGGTTTACCTGTTGCCACATGTTTGGAAAACCGGTGACTCTGAGATTTTTAGAGAAATTACGAGTTAAAACATGAACCTGTGACTATATGTTGAGTGTTGGACGTGTTGAGACTTGAGAGGCTTTAGAACCTTCTATATATAGTTTATCAAAATACTTATCTTCAAATTTGTGTGGTGTGGTGTATATCACATATCCGTTTCTCGGATTCATAGTTTGAATGACATGTAATGGTTAATCACAAACCCATTTGTTAGAATTATAGTTTGTTAATGAAGTCATGTGTATTTGTTATGACAGATGGGAAGTTCTCAGGCAATTAAAGGAGAGATAACACCGGCTGAAACAAGGAGAGTGACGAGAACAGAGGAAGAAGAAAGTTCTTCTGATGAAGATTCGAGTAGTAGTTTGTATCATCCGTGTAATTTGTTTCAGCTTGCTGGAACTGTATTCTTAAAGTGTTTCGGGCTTGGCCAGAGTACAGAAGAAACTGATGATTCTCTGAGACCTGAAACTAAGAAACAGAGGTGATCCAAGTTCTTGTGAATATATAAGATGAACATACACGTTTTTAATATGAGTTGATTCCTAGCGATTGAGTAGGAGAGAAAGAAGAAACTTGTAAGTATATGGAAATATTATATTGTTGGGTTAACACGAAGAGTTAACTCAGAAAATAACTGTGGTTAAAATATTTTAAATGCGGTTTATATCAGTGGTGCATTTAAAAAAATAAGTATTCCGACTGCATGTTAATTTGTGTCCATAATATATTAATTACCACTAAATTGCTAGTGGAAATTCGTTAGAACGCTGACATATACTCCCTCCAAAGATACATATTCTAGGAAAAAAATTTGTCTTTAAAAGATCTATTTTTTACATTTTCAATGTATGTTTTATTAAATAATTGTAAACTTCAAAAAACTTAATTACACTAATTGATTTTTGATTGGTTTAAAATTATGGAAAGAAGATAAATACAAAAAACTATGCAAATTTATTGTGTTTTATTAAAAAATGTGAAAAAACTAGAATATGAATCTTTTAGGAACAGAGGGAGTATGATTATGGACTAACTGTGGAACAACAAAGAAAACAGAGTATGTGAAAGATAGGCATAGGCATTCGGATATTCGGTTCCAGATAGAAACCATTAGATTCCGGGTATATCAGATAAATTATTCTTATATCCAATAGATACTTATGAAATTTTGGTTCAGTTCCGGGTATCCGTTTAATATATAAATCAAATATATATATAAAATATATTTAATATATTAATTTAAATGGTCTAGTGTTTACACGCTTACATATTCGTCAATCTAACAGGAGTTCAAATCAATAAAGTGTTAATTTTATAAATATTTATAGTATTTTAATATAGAATATTTTATATATTTATAATATAAGAGAATAAATAAAACATTATATACTCTTTGTATCCAATCTGGATTCAAATGGGTTTGATGTTATTTTATCATATATTTAAAAACTTTAACTTGTTTTTCGGGTATTCGGGTAGCCATTCGGTTCTCGGTTCGGTTCTAATTCCAATTCGATTTTTCGAATATAAAAATATAGAAAACCATTCGGAAATTTAAGAGTTTCGATCCGATTTCGATTTTAGATATGGTTTTTTTGTCCAGAACTATGTGAAATGCTAAAGACAATCACACTAATTTTGAGTTTAAAAATAAAGACGTGTTGGTCAAACAAAAATACTCAACCCTGAAAAAAAGTTAATGGGGAATAAGAAAAGGTCTTTGTATTGAAAAGCTAAATCATTCGAAAAATACAAGAGACTTATCCAACGCCAATGCGTCGTTGTTTCCTCTTTATTCTTTTTCCCGAGACAACAATATTTGACCACATGCGTTATTCTACAATAGAATGTGACCTGAACTATATTATTATTCCTTAGTTTTTTTCTCCTTTCTACATTTTATAAGGTTCTTTTTTTCTTCTGCGAAAGAGCTTTACATTTTATAAGGTTTCAAAGTTTATGAATTGTTTCCCTTTCTAAACTTCTATTTTTTGAATAATCTTTTCTGTTTGTGAAGTGTCCAAGTAACCAAGTCCACCGATAAACTTCACTAAACTATATGTAACTTCAATTCTTATGTCTTAATTATATGATAGTATATTTTTAAACAAAATAATTGAGTTAGTTAGATGCTTAGCAGAAGCTCTGGCAATGAATCCCTTTAACAAAAGAAAAAAAAAACTGGCAATGCTTTATGATCAAAGTCCCAAACCACCTATAAGTTTTAATTAGTAGATGAACTTGGGTATAAACATAATTGCTGCTAATAAATATTTCTCTATAAATCAACTGATTTTTTGTATAATTACTGGCGACAGCAAGAAACATGTACTGAGTCATTAAAACAATAATATTATACAGTACAATTTAACTAGGATAAGACCTGCGCGTGAATATATGTAATTAAAATATAAAATTTTCGTATTGACAAATTAAAATTTATATATGATTGTTTTATATGTATTTGAAATTTTAGAATTTTGAAATTTTTATATAATTATTTATACGTAGGATCAGAAACAATTGTAATTAGAACTGTAGATCAAATCTTAGAATTTAGTGGACTTGATTTCATATATCTTTTCACTTTTCAGTGTTCAAGTGACGGAAAATAAACGGAGTGTCATTGGACTTGATTGGTAGGGTATTAGCAAGTATCCTAATGTTTTTGTAAGAAGCAGTTNTATTTATACGTAGGATCAGAAACAATTGTAATTAGAACTGTAGATCAAATCTTAGAATTTAGTGGACTTGATTTCATATATCTTTTCACTTTTCAGTGTTCAAGTGACGGAAAATAAACGGAGTGTCATTGGACTTGATTGGTAGGGTATTAGCAAGTATCCTAATGTTTTTGTAAGAAGCAGTTGGTAAAATACTTGCGTTTAAAATATATAAAGTTTCAAAATTAATTTATATAATTTATTTATTTTTTCTAATAATATTAGAAAACTATATTTTCTACAATTTTTTTAATTTTATAAAAAATTAAGTTAAATTTTAAATTAATTTTAAAAACAATATTTTAAATTTTTCAAATACAAATAAACAATTTAAAATTAATTATGGTCATGATTTAACATAACCAAAATGATTTAAAAAATTAAAAAAATTAACAAATTTAAAATTAACTCAGTTTTTTATCATGATTTAATAATTTAAAAATTAATTATGGTTATGAGAAGCTTACATTCGCGTGTCAATCCTATTTATCTTTTTTTCTCTTGTTGTGTTTTTTATATTTTGGTTATTACTCGAGATAAATATTTATTTTGAAGTTTATTCTCAATTCGTTTGTTTGTTTTGGCCTGAGATTTAGAAAATACTTAAGATTTAAAATAATTAAAGAGATACATACTTAGGGCAAGATCTGCACTTTATGCACAATAAGTATTTTATATTTGTTATTTATTTTATATTTCTATGCATATTATAAAATAATAAAATAAGAAATATATAGATTAAATAACTAAAAAATCAATTACTTTTATGTGATAAATTGACGTATGCATATAAATTTAACTATCACTTTGTTTATTCGCAATTATGGTAAATAAATAAAAATAATCAATCTTATATATTATATATGATATATAATTAAATTTAAATGATATAAACATAGTAATATAGAACACTTTTAATATGGATATTTATTAAATGAGGTTTTTACTCACATGATTTTATGATTATTTGCATATTTGTGTAACAGACTTTACACCAACAATTTTTTTTAATGTGAGATGTTTAGTAGTTTCAATAATTTATAATCATTTTAAAAAAAACAATGACATATTTCAAAATTAAAATATTAACTTTTCAATATATGTTCAAGGCAAATATCAATATATAAGTATGTATTTTCATATGATATATAGTTTAATTAAAACGATATGAAATATATATAAACTTAAAATTATTTCTTCATATGGTCTTATAATCACTATATTTTAATATAGAAAAAATTAAAACCTTGATCCTAAAAGTTTATGTGAGACTTTTAACTATTTTAGTAATTTATACTCATTTTGAAAAATTCGAAATACAACATACACACAAAAAAATCTCGATTTTTATTATATGATTAATTTAATTGTGTAATTTATTTAATAATAAATAAATAAACAAAATGAGATAAATGTATGAAGATTGTTATCAAATCTTTATTGTTTAAAATCATTAATTATCATATATATTTTAATCATATTAGGTAATTCCGTAGGTTATTTAAGGAAAGCATGCGAAGCAATAAATATTTGATATATGCGACCAACTATAATCTACAAAAAATTATATTGCTAGAGAGTATAATTTTTAAACTATACATTATATCACATGCTCTAGAATCCTTGGAATTTGAAATAGAAGCCAAAGAGCTATGCCACATAGGATTGGGGTTATTATTAATTCTTACAAACTTAAGGTTACAACTTTTTAAATGATTCTCAAATAATATATAGGGGATATCCTAACTATGATAGATTTTTTCGTCCTAATGTAGTTCTCAACTTACTAGCTACAAGAAGTTTGAGATATTAATTTACATTATCCCAAATAGTTTTTATGGCCTAACGTTCGTCTCCTTGAAGTGAACTCTAAACCCACATGCTTAATTTCGCTAATAACAATCATTTCGTTTCTTAATATTTCACTCTGTCAACTAAATTATTAAAAAACTCGGAAAGGAATTAAATTAATCCTATCGGAAAGTCGTGGTTTAAGAAAATGTATTATACTAGTATAATAAAATGGAGTCATACCAAATACCGAGTTACCATCCCACTATAAAACGCAGTGCTGTTTCCTTAACCTCTCTTCCCAATATCACTCACATCTGAAAAACAGCTTCACTTCTCTCACTAAACTTAATCAACCGTCTAGTTAAGGTTTCAACTTAAGATCTCAATTCAATGGAAAAAATTGAAAGACAAAGCGATGAAGCATCTTATCTATGGCTTCCTTTTCAGTTCCTCGACCAAACTCTTAAAGCTATCTTAAGGTGTCTTGGTCTACTTCATCATGATTCCGTACCCTTAAACCAGCCGGTAAGTTTCTCTAGCAATATTTATACTACTGATTTCCAAAAAAATATTTTAGATTAAAACATCTTCAACCTCACTTCATAATTTACTTCAAAATAGAAAGAGGTTGTAGATGCTCTTAATATGGTTTTATTATTCTTTTGGTGTTATGTAGTAAATTAAAGTATTTAGCGGTTATTTATTGAACTTGATGAAATTTATAGCATGCTTTTAAAAATAAAAATACATAAAAAATAAGATTGCATAACAATAATCACGTTATAAACTATAAAGGTTAATAATATATGCTCACCGACAGAAAAAAAGTGATTGCTAATATTCAGCCTAAAGATCAATATTTTGAGTAGTTTTTAGTAATATTATGAAAAAGCTCAAACATTTGTGCTCTGATTCTACTTGCAGGATGAAGAAGTAGAAGAGGAACAAGATGTTGCCATGGAAGACGACGTCGTTGTGACGACTAGGGGAAGTAAAAACGGCTTCGTTGTAACGAGTAGAGGTACAAAAATGAAAGCAAAGAAAAAGGATAGGGAAAGAGTTAGCTCAGGACGACCGGGGCAACATCACTAGCAGTTACATAACATTATTATTTGGTTCAGTTATTTGCACCCAGTTATGATTTTTGTTTTAATAAGTGTTTTAATGATGGTAGTATAATGTTGTTCTTTGTACGGATACAAAATGGTCAAGCTAGTTCATTAATCTGAAAACAACATTACAACTTCATTATTATTCCAGCGTAAATTCGCAACAACTACCATCGTACGCAACTGTCATTAATCAATGTTGAACATTAAAGATCTACCTAATTCGTAATTAATAATTTGGGGTTTAAACCATGAGTCAACAGCTCGTCCTACCTCTCATGATAAATTAAAAAATAAGATATTTTGTTTTAATGTATAATTTCATCATACATTAGTGAGTAATAAATTAAAAAATATGGAATTATACATTAAAACAAAATATCTTATTTAGTGTATGTTCATCTTAAAAAATAAGGAAACCCATGATCGTAGGGGTTAACCCACGTATTTCAAGATAAATTAGAAAATATGGAACTTTTGTTTTAATACATAGATGCATCATGCAGTGACATAGTATGAGTATTAAATATGTTTGAGACCTTAGGTGTTCCCATTTCTCTAGAAAATAGAGATTTTATGCGGGTTAGTACACTAATTAGATAATATATGAAGTTTTTATTATTGTTTTAATTCATACTTGCATCAATAACTGAAATATTGTGAATATTAAAGAGGTTTGAGACCTTATGTGTTCATATTTCTCTAGAAAATAGAGATTTTATAGAGGTTATGACACTAATTAGATCGTATATGAAGTTTAAATAAATTACTCGTTGGAAAGTTAGATATGATTACCATGTACCATGAAAATATGTTTAGCGTACATTAATATACATTGAGAGTGTGGTTTAATATTTTTAAAAAACAATAAAGTGTCTAAATATATATTAAAGCATTTATCGGAAAATTCAATTTTTTCAAAGGGGTTAACCCACATATTTCCAGAAAAATTAGAAATATTTTTTTTGTTTTAATGCATATTTGCATCACTAACTGACATATTATGAATATTAAAGAGTTTTGAGAGCTTATATGTTCCTCTTTCTCGAGAAAATAGAGATTTTCTAGGGGTTAGTTGCACTAATTAGATCGTTTATAAAGTTTAAATAAATTACTCGTAGGAAAGTTAGATATGATTACCATGTACCACGAAAATATGTTTAGCGTACATTAATATACATATGGAGTCTGTTTTAAAAATTTTAAACATCAATAAAGTGTCTAAAAATATATTAAAGTATTTATCAGAAAATTCAATTTTTTGAAAGAGGTTAACCCACATATTTCCAGAAAAATTAAATTTTTTTATTATTGTTTTAATTCATACTTGCATCATTAACTGACATATTTATAATATTAAAGAAGTTTTAGACCTTATATGTTCCCCTTTCTTAAGAAAATAGAGATTTTATAGGGGTTAGTTGCACTAATTAGATCATATATGTATTTTAAATAAACTACGTGTTGGAAAGTTAGATATGACTACCATGTACCATGAAAATATGTTTATCTTACATTAATATACACTGATAGTGTGGTTTAAAATTTTTACACAACAATAAAGTGTACAAAAATATATTAAAGCATTTATCGGAAAATTCAATTTTTTTCAAAGGGGTTAACCCACATATTTCCAGAAAAATTAGAAATTTTTTTTATTTTTGTTTGAATTCATACTTTCATCACTACCTGAAATATTGTGAATATTAAAGAGGTTTGAGACCTTATATGTTCCTCTTTCTCGAGAAAATAGAGATTTTATAGGGGTTAGTTGCACTAATTAGATCGTATATGAAGTTTAAATAAATTACTCGTTGGAAAGTTAGATATGATTACCATGTACCATGAAAATATGTTTAGCATACATTAATATTCATTTAGAGTGTGGTTTAAAATTTTTAAACATCAATAAAGTGTCTAAAAATATATTAAAACATTTATCGGAAAATTCAATTTTTTCAAAGGGGTTAACCCACATACTTCCAGAAAAATTAGAAATTTTTTTATTTTTGTTTCAATGCATATTTTCATCACTAACTGACATATTATGAATATTAAAGAGGTTTGAGACCTTATATGTCCCTCTTTCTCGTGAAAATAGAGAATTTATAGGGGTTAGTTGCACTAATTAGATCGTATATGAAGTTTAAATAAACTATGTGTTGGAAAGTTAGATATGATGACCACGTAACATGAAAATCTGTTTAGAATTCATTAATATACGTTTAGAGTGTGGTTTAAAATTTTAAAATATCAATAAAGTGTCTAAAAATATTTTAAAGCATTTATCAGAAAATTCATTTTTTCAAAGGGGTTAACTCACATATTTCCAAAAAAATTAAATTTTTTTATTATTGTTTTAATTCATACTTGCATCATTAACTGACATATTTATAATACTAAAGAAGTTTGAGACCTTATATGTTCTCCTTTCTCAAGAAAATAGAGATCTTATAGGGGTTAGTTGCACTAACTAGATGGTATATGTATTTTAAATAAACTACGTGTTGGAAAGTTAGATATGACTACCATGTACCATGAAAATATGTTTATCTTACATTAATATACACTGATAGTGTGGTTTAAAATTTTTACACAGCAATAAAGTGTACAAAAATATATTAAAGCATTTATCGGAAAATTCAATTTTTTTCAAAGGGGTAACACCCACATATTTCCAGAAAAATTAGAACTTTTTTTTATTTTTGTTTGAATTCATACTTGCATCACTAACTGACATATTATGAATATTAAAGAGGTTTGAGACCTTATATGTTCCTCTTTCTCGAGAAAATAGAGATTCTATTGGGCTTAGTTGCACTAATTAGATCGTATATGAAGTTTAAAAAAATTACGGGTTGGAAAGTTAGATATGATGACAATGTACCATGAAAATATGTTTAGCATACATTAATATACATTGATAGTGTGGTTTAATATTTTTAAACAACAATAAAGTGTCTAAATATATATTAAAGCATTTATCGGAAAATTTAATTTTTTCAAAGGGGTTAACCCACATATTTCCAGAAAAATTAGAAATTTTTTTATTTTTGTTTTAATGCATATTTGAATCCCTAACTGACATATTATGAATATTAAAGAGGTTTGAGACCTTATATGTTCCTCTTTCTCGAGAAAATAGAGATTTTATAGGGGTTAGTTGCACTAATTAGATCGTATATGAAGTTTAAATAAATTCCTCGTTGGAAAGTTAGATATGATTACCATGTACCATGAAAATATGTTTAGCATACATTAATATACATTTATAGTGTGGTTTAAAAATTTTAAACATCAATAAAGTGTCTAAAAATATATTAAAACATTTATCGGAAAATTCAATTTTTTCAAAGGGGTTAACCCACATACTTCCAGAAAAATTAGAAATTTTTTTTATTTTTGTTTCAATGCATATTTGAATCACTAACTGAAATATTATGAATATTAAAGAGGTTTGAGACCTTATATGTCCCTCTTTCTCGTGAAAATAGAGAATCTATAGGGGTTAGTTGCACTAATTAGATCGTATATGAAGTTTAAATAAACTATGTGTTGGAAAGTTAGATATGATGACCATGTAACATGAAATTATGTTTATCATACATAAATATAGATTGAGAGTGTGGTTAAACAATTTTAACAACAATAAAGTGTCTAAATATATATTAAAGCATTTATCGGAAAATTCAATTTTTTTCAAAGGGGTTAACCCACATATTTCCGGAAAAATTAGAAATTTTTTTATTTTTATTTTAATGCATATTTGCATCACTAACTGGCATATTATGAATATTAAAGAGGTTTGAGACCTTATAAGTTCCTCTTTCTCTAGAAAAAATAGATTTTATAGGGGTTAGTTGCACTAATTAGATCGTATATGTAATTTAAATAAACTATGTGTTGGAAAGTTAGATATGATGAACATGTAACATGAAAATCTATTTAGAATACATTAATATACGTTTAGAGTGTGGTTTAAAATTTTAAAATATCAATAAAGTGTCTAAAAATATTTTAAAGCATTTATCAGAAAATTCAATTTTTTCAAAAGGGTTAACTCACATATTTCCATAAAAATTAAATTTTTTTTAATAATTGTTTTAATTCATACTTGCATCATTAACTGACATATTTTTAATATAAAAGAAGTTTGAGACCTTATATGTTCCCCTTTCTCAAGAAAATAGAGATTTTATAGGGGTTAGTTGCACTAATTAGATGGTATATGTATTTTAAATAAACTATGTGTTGGAAAGTTAGATATGATTACCTTGTACCATGAAAATATGTTTAGCATACATTAATATAATTTGAGAGTGAATTTTTAAACAACAATAAAGTGTCTAAAAATATATTAAAGCATTTATCAGAAAATTCAATTTTTTCAAAGAGGTTAACCCACATATTTCTAGAAAAATTAGAATTGTTTTTATTTTTAATTTAATTCATACTTGCATCATTAACTAGATCATATATGTATTTTAAATAAACTACGTGTTGGAAAGTTAGATATGACTACCATGTACCATGAATATATGTTTATCTTACATAAATATACACTGATAGTGTGGTTTAAAATTTTTACACAACAATAAAGTGTACAAAAATATATTAAAGCATTTATCGGAAAATTCAATTTTTTTCAAAGGGGTAAACCCACATATTTCCAGAAAAATTAGATTTTTTTTTTATTTTTGTTTTAATTCATACTTGCATCACTAACTGAAATATTGTGAATATTAAAGAGGTTTGAGACCTTATATGTTCCTCTTTCTCGAGAAATAGAGATTTTATAGAAGTTAGTTGCACTAAATAGATCGTATATGAAGTTTAAATAAATTACTCGTTGGAAAGTTAGATATGATTACCATGTACCATGAAAATATGTTTAGCATACATTAATATTCATTTAGAGTTTGGTTTAAAAATTTTAAACAACAATAAAGTGTCAAAAATATATTAAAGCATTTATTGGAAAAT